TCAACAAGCAGTACTTCATGCATAAAAAATGTGGTTTTTAAGAGTTTTTATCAAATGTTTTATAATATACTATAAATATACATATATATATATATATAGAGAGAGAGAGAGAGAGAGAGAGACATGTTAATACAATGATACATACTTAATGAAATACGAGAATGAATATGGATCATGTATTTCATTAAATAATACCTTAAATAATTGATTCTACAAATAAATAAATAAGGACATAAAAGTAATTTAGTTATATAAAAGTTATTTAGAAACTTATAAAAAAAGTCTACTTTTAACATATTTATGATTTTAATAAGATTTAATTTTTTATGTAAAAATTTTATAATTAATGCATTTAAAATAAGGGTATTAAATTTTCATTTAAAGAATTTGTTTTTTGATAATTAAAGCAATATTTAAAAAAAATATTTCATTAAAATCACATGTGATTCACAATTAATTATGTTTCTTATCAAAATGTTTTCATAATCATACGTGAGTTAATGGTTGAAAAATAATAATTCAAATTAAACATTGAAAAAGAAAAATGAATACAGAATCACATGTGATGTGTAACAAAACACATTAAAAATGTATAAGATCACATGTACTTCAAAATGTAATTTGTAAGTTACACATATCACATGTAATATTGTAAATAACTTATATTTCTTTGATACATGGACGAAAATTTACGATTCTTCCTTTGAGAAAAGACGTGGATTCATTGCGGATATCGATTTTTGACGAAAATTGTAAAAATAAATAAATAAACTATTTCAATAAAAATAAATGATTTTAAATGAAAAATAAAAATCACATTTATTCTAAATGTTGTAAAAAAGAAAAAATTAATATATGAAAAATTAATCATGCTTAAATCACGAAAACTATAAAAAATCATGAATAAATATTAATTAAATGTATTAAATAATCTTTATAGAAATAAATGATTTTCCATATATAATTTATATACAACAAATGATACATGTGTCCTTTTAGACGATTTTTTAGAAAGTTTTATTTAAAGCATTATTTAAATAAATGATTGATCCAAAATTATTCTCTTATTTTCCTAAATATGTATCAGACTGTTTTCGTGAGACCACTTTTTTACACTTAAAACTTCACCGCAAAACATTATGCAGGTAAAAAAAAATCCAAAACTTTCACAGCAAAAACACTATAAAAGCTCGACATCGGGTTTTGGAGACCCACATTCTACCGCACTGAACTAAGAACACTTTCTTATCATAAAAGATAAGACTGCAACGAAAATAATTAACCACAATACATCTTAAAATAATAGTCTCACATGTCTCAGTAGAAAAAAAAAAGTTTGGTATCACATAATCCTAAATCTTTATATATAAAATGCAAGCTTTGGATTTCTTTTACCCGACCAACATCTCTTATTTGAATTTTTATAAATTTTTTAATAAATTTTGGAATTTTCTTTTTGTTCAATAACAAACATCTAACTATCATCAAATTTATCGTTACTATCTTTATAAATAAACATATGTTACACTTTTAAAAGCCGAGTGGGACGGTGGTTTTAGCCATATTTTTTTATATTATAAGATTTATTTAATATTCTGTTAAAGACTCAAGTTTATAATTTATTATATATATATAATTTTTTAAAATTTCACATCTGAAGTTTATAAAAACTAAGGGGCCGTTTATCAAACACTTATCCGGGTAAATACTTACCAAGTCATGTTACCTCACCGGATGAATATGGCAAGGACCAAAAATCTTACCCGGTAAGTGCGAGATAAGGACCGTGAATCTTACCCGGTAAGTGAGGGCGACGACTCTTACTACAAAAAGCGTTTACCGGGTAAATTGTTGCATAGGATGTCGTTTTGGTGCACTAAAATCTTATCCGATACGTAAATAATAGTGTTAAATTTTACCGGTAAGCACTTACCGGGTAAATGTTTGGTAAACGGCCCCTAACTGATAAGTTGTGATCAACGTTCCATTTTTATGGCGGGTGTGTTATGCTTATTTGACTTGGGGCCCAAACCGTGCTTGTGTACTTTATGTTAGATACAAGGATATGGAGATGATTAGGGAACTGGATAATCTCTTTGGGTCATGTAAGTACACTATCTAAATACATTAACTCGTCCCTTATAACCCTGGGTAACACGAATATTAGGATAATCCAAGAGAAACTCTCTACGATTTATTGGCCCGGCCCAGGACCGTCACAATTTTTTCAAAAAAATGTATTTTTAACTTTCTGAGTGTATTTAATTGAAAATCAATTACAAAATTACAATAAAACATACTTTTTAAGTGTATTTAATTGTCTCATTTAATCTCTATTCATTATATATATGTCATATGATGTATAGGGGGAGATATCAACTCATAAACACTCACAATTCTTGAAAAAAAAAAACGTATTTTTTAAGTGTATTTAATTGACCCAATTACATTTTTTTCAAGTGTATTAGAATAGAATTTTTGTATTCTTTAAAAATAACTTCAAAAAAATTACGTAAAGATCGAACTTTAATTTTTTTTTACATAGGATCCGTTTGGACCCGGCCCGGGACCGGTTCTCATAATCGGGCCTCATACACCTTAACCGGGCTTTCGTATTTGGATCAGGACTGGTTACGGGATCACTGTTTTGGGACCGGGACAGGTTTTTGACCATATCTAGTCATGACATTATGGAGTACTTGTTTTCGTTGCAATGACATTTTGTGGTGTAATGGGGCGAGAGGTCCTTCCTCGATAATTCGATGGGTATAGGATTTCATAACTTCCTCTTTGCGGGCTCCAGAAGAGCACCCACTTCCTCGAGACTGTTGGA